CAGGATGAATGCCCACATTTGAGGTAATTATTGCCATTAGGTCACAGTTTGCGTAATGTAAGTGTATTTAAATCCTTCTTTTAAAAAAACAAAGGTATCCCACAGTACCAGGGGATACCCGTTGAAGCAATCAGAATCCAGAATCCTGATCAGTGGGTTTGCTTCCAAAGGAGCCGGCGGTCCCAGCGCACAAGGCACTCCTGGGACAGTCGCTGACCAGCCTAGAGCTCAGGCGAGCAAGCCTGCAACAAGCCTTTTTTTCTATTTTTTACTTTTTTTAAAAGAAAAAGAAAACAGAAGGAAAATCAGAGGTGCCATAAAATAGATGGATAACATTTCTGATCAGAATTCCAGACCAAAGCTTTTCTAATCTGTCTTATTCCTTTCCAAACAGTTTGCTAAAACAAAAATAATAATAATAAAAAAAAATACATCGGCTTAAATATTAACTCTATGCCAGCACTGCAAAAACTCCTTGGCTATGTTCTGAAAGTGGGATAAGCTTTGCTTTTTTTTGAGCATTGTTGCCCCATTGCTTTCTGTTTCAAGAGGAAACCTTGTTTGAAAGAAAGAAAGAAAGAAAAGGAAGAAGAAAATGAGGAAGGAAATGAGAGAGGGAGGGAAGAAGAGAGGAAGGGAGGATGGAAGGAAGGAACGGAAGAAGAGAAGGAAGGAGGGAGAGAGGAAGGGAGAAAGAAAGGAAGGAAAAATAATCCCTGGCTGTCAGAAGTACACACAAGTATTTACAAGGTTTGTGTGAATCTGCACACAGTTCCCCTCACAGCAAAAGAGTTAAGAACAGAGATGTCACAATATTTATCAGTGCAGTAAAAAATATCATTTTTGGAAAAAAATATACCTTTAGTATTGCCTTTCTTAGATTAACTATGATAAGCAAAAGATTAAAAACAAAAACTTTATCTTCAAACACACATGAATAGTCTGTTATAGCAGCACTGCTAAAACTGGAAGGACAAAGCTAACCCGTAAATGAGAAACAGGAGTTTCAAACCACAAATGCCGAATGCAAAGCCTCCTAGTATGCTTCCTAAGACTTCTGAAGAACCAAGCCAATCTACCATTCAAATTTCACTCTCCACACACACAAATGCTCTAAACCCACGTCTTCCCACTGAAAGCATTTGACACACGCAGAGCTCACCTCAGTTTACCTCCAGACAGGTTCTCATACCTCCACCTGCATCAGCAGCTCCTCACACGTAACTAACAAACTACCGCCTCTGGGATAATTCCCAGTGATTATGTTTGCCCCAAGGGAACAAGACACCTTCAGCACAGAGCCCTAGGTTGGCAGTGCTCCCCTGCACACTGCCCAGGCTTACTTCCAGGGGCTGCCCCTGCAGTGGGTCTCACTGTGTGCCCGGGGTGGGTATGAGCGTGGTGGCATCACAGCAATACACACAGTGTTCCCGGGTGGTGGGAAGGATGGACCATGGGGATGGAGACCAGCCTGGAAAGCCCAGTGCCTCTCATCCAATGCAGTACTCCGGCGAGGAGCCTACACACAGCCTTTGACAATAGGACTGTCATCATCTCTTCAAGCACTGCTGTAAAATGGTGTAAAAATGGTGTAAAAAACCTCACTCTGCAGCCCACGGTGAAATTCTCACCATCATCAGAGGCAGCTTTGTTGGAGTAAAGCAGCGGGAGAACCCCAGCAACACAGACTCATCTTCTCCTTCATAAGTTTGGAGAGAGCAAAATGATTTGTAGGCACGTAAGTGAGCTTCAAGAAGTAAGATGGGGACTCCTGAACTTCAGACATAGGCCCTTCTCAGAGGAGCACTGAGGGGGGTGATATAGATGGGTGCCCAGGACCACAGATTAACTGCTTTGAGGCTCCTACAGCACATGGGATCACAGCAGGGACAGCTGTGTCAACAGGAAGGGGGAAAACATTTCCTTCCCACATTTTTCTCTTCTACATTGCCTATCCCCTGCACACCTTGCATACAGGTATCTAGCATTTGGCCCACAAATAGCACTGCAGTTCTCTAATGGGCTGATTGCCAAGCCATGGAAGAACATGAGCGTTAAGTCCAACACCCTTGCCCAGCTGTGCCTGTCCTGACCATGGCACCACTGTTTGGGGTCTAACCCACAGAACAAACCCAGCATCCTAAATCCAGAGAAGGAGACACTACAGAAGCATGCAGAGCATCCAGAAGCTTATCCCCACTACACAGCTCACCATTTCCACACTGCATTGTCACCACTGCAACACTTTAATCAATCCGAACAATAACGAGAGAAGAAAAACACTTTTGACATCCCCTACAGTTTAGGATAGCAGCAATATTTAGTGTGAATGTCTCTGCTCATCAAGCTAGTACTCAAAACCATGGTAGAAACTTGAGAGAGACGAAAAAGAAAAAAAAAGGGAACAGAATAATGGAATTCCACAGCGTATCCTCATTGCCTGGTGCTCATGACTCGTGGCTTCATTTAATTTCTGAAATAGGTGGGTCTCTTTCTCTCTTTCTTAAAAAAAGGTATCTTTGGTTAAAGAAAAAAAAACAGGTTTATTGCCCTTCAGATTTGCTAATGGAATTGCCTTCAAACCAAGCTAAAAAGACACAATTCCTTGAAAGTATATAAAAAAGGAAAATTGTCACAGTCAGAAGTGTCCCTTTCTTGGAATGTTTTACATATTATGACAAAACTACTAGAGAAAGAGAGAAAGAGACCTGCCAAGGCCCAATTTGTTGGGTACAAGCAGGTACAACTCTGCCAAGGAAGATGCAATTGCATTTGCTCTCTCAAATGACTGGATTTGACCCAATCTACAGTTGAGAAGTGCTTCCATTTGGGTTTTCCAATCTGCTCATGTTGGTAGTTCTCTCCCCTCCCTCATGCATTCTGGCTTCACAGCAGGGAATTGAACATCCACCTCTGAGGAGAGGCAACGTCCGTGCTTTCTGCACAAGAAGAATGCAATACAAGATAATGGGGAAAAGGACCACTCTTTCGCTGTGCCAGCCATAAGCCACCCATAAAACTTCCAGCATCTAAACATTCGCCTCCCCCCTCAAGTTTCCATGCCATTTACCCCATGCACACAAGGAACACCAACTGAACCAAACCACACCAATCCCATTTCCTCTCCAAAGGATTCTGCAAACAAAACAAGCTGGCTGTTATGTGTGTGGTACCGACAGCATGCAAAGCTTTTGCTTCCTCTGCTGAAATGACTGTTTCCCCTGTGACTAACCACACCTTTTTCCACACAATGCCTTTGTACAGGTGTGAGGGAAGAGGTGTTGCTCAGCTCCCTCATATCCGCCAGAAAACAGCTCTCACACAGTGTTTCACCATCAAAGCAACTTGATGGTTCTGCTGTGCATCTCTTGCAATCAGCATCCTATCACCATGATCACCTGACCACCTACAGCTGGCAGACCAGCATCTCCAGGATGGACAATGTGAAAAGTGGCTCCTTTGATAGGCACTGCACCCCTTCTCACAGCCATCCTGTGCTGTTGTAACAGCTCCACTGCCAAAAGCCATCCAAAATCAGAGCTGAGCCCACGTGGCAGAGCAGGTCAGATGGGAACACAGGGAAAATGCAATTAGTACAAAGTAAAACATTACTTTGATTTTGCTGGCCCTAGGCTAGAGGAGCACATAAACAACTATTTAACTTAAAGGGTTTAAGTCAGTTCTTTAGTAAAGCACTCAAGCACATGATTAACTTTCAGTCTCTGCTGAAGTCCTCTAATTTTTTAATAGAATTTAAATTCAGTCACTGCTTCCCCCTATTCTAACAGAGCAGGTAATGCAAATGAAACCATAAATATCTAAACTGTAGCAACCAGAATAGCTTAACAAAATTCCACAAAAAATAATTATAAAAGAAGGGAAAATCTACATCAGGAACAAACAAAGGAAAAAAAAAATCAAACCAAGCATCCTGGCCCTGCAGACATCTAACTAACCTTCCGTGAGAGTGGGAGAGCAGGGGAGGAACACTGCCCTGTCTGCAGCCAAGCCTTACCCAGCTGATGCCAGCCATGTGCGCCAGTGTGCTTTATCCAGTGATGGGACTGAGCCGCACGCGCGGCTGCTGTGGCTCCTTTAACACCCCTGTTCCTGGAGAGCCACCTACCTGCTTTCTCCTTCAGGAAAACCAAACCCTTAACATGTAGTGTGGCCTTGGACTCATCAACAGGGCCCAGTGATCATGGCCTGGAGCACAAATAAGTCTTAATCTTATATAATGTCCTATCCAACTGAGTTACGGTGAGCTGGATTGTGGGGCACCAAGGTTCTTACCTGCCTTTGATCCAGCTCTCCTGACCGATCATTACATTAGCTGCTATTGGGTTTTGGCCTCTGAATGAATATTTCTGGACTTATTCTTAAATGCAGATGTGACCCAGAGGATAATTCCTGTTCCTCAAGGCTGTAACTACTCTCATGGAGTGGCCTCACACCTCCCAGGTTAGTGGCAGTGTTTTCATCCTTGGAATAATTTTGTTTCTCTTTTCTCCTGCAGTTCTCACAATCACAGCAACCCTTCCAATGCAACTGATGAAGAGAAATAAAATTAAGAACAGTAACAACAATACTAAGAGAAAAAAAACCCTATAAAGTTTAAGGAATGCGTGTGCAATTAAAACCCAGAGTAAAATACAATAATAATAAAATAATAATCATAACAACCATACAATAAAATAACATTATCTTTCCTTTTCATGACATAAGCAGCATGACGCTCTCGCTCCCAAACTGGTGGGAGAGAAGAGGAATGCAAGAGAGAGAGAGCAGGGTTTTATTTTCCTGCCTCAAGTGAAAGGGGACACGTTGTCTTTCCAAAGGAAGAGGGGGTAAGGTGCATAGGCTGCTGGGAGATTGCATCCTCATCTACAGTATATTGAGCTGGAATGAAGGATAGGCAGGAAAAGAAAACTGTGCAAGGGTAGCCCAGGAACCAGAGCTGGTAACCAGGGAGGTTATTTGGTGGTTTGCCAGAAGACAACAGCCTATGCATAGCGGGATCCCTTCTTCCAAGCCAGTCAAGCACTTACTGCAAGCCAATATATTTGTGCTTGCCTTTCCGTCAGCTTTTCCAACCTGAGAGAGCCTTCTTCATCACTTCCACTCAGGGAAACTATCCCTTACCACCCTGCCAATGAACCTGCTATTTTCCAGCATCTTGCAAAATACTTGACTACTTCATGCTCTTGTTACAGGGAAATGTAGAGTAGAACCAAGTAGCCACAAAGACTTCAGCTTTCATGGAAATGTTCTATCAGATTCCTTTCTCTCCTTCCTTCTCCGGACACCCACAGGCATGGGTACTCTAGAGACATTTCCAAGTACCGATGCACCAGTGAAACTGCAGCTACCAGGGAAACTCCCCTCTGAACCAAACCAACTACAGGAAAGGCTCTCTTTGGAAACTGTTGGAAAACAAGACGACCATGTAGCATTCCTTTGTGTGGAGGACTGCAGCACCACCGTGCTCTCCAGTTCCAGGGTCACTCTGCCACTGCAGCCAGTTTTTCAAGGTGTAGGTGAGAAAAGAGGAGGGGAGGCACACAGTGTCACAGCTCTGTTAGAGTGGGTAAGGCTCGATGTATTAAAACACTCTTTTCACTTAAGAAACCTGAGATTGACTCTCTCAACTGGATTTTCTCATGCTTGCTCTGGGACTCCATCCCTTTCCTAACCCCTTCTCATCAACAGACACAGTGAGAGATGTTGGCAACAACTAGTGTTTCCCCCTTTCAAGGGCTAAATGTTTGTTCCCATTTCAAACACACAACTAGGACAACCTGATGATGAGGGCGGACACTGTCCTCCCACTCCATCAAGAACATCGTCAAACAGCAGAATGAGAATTCAGTTTCTGGGGAGGAAACCTGCTATTTCAACAGGACAGAAACAGACCAGTCCAGAAACAAATCCCCAGACCCTCTGGGAGTCACCTGGGGTCTCACAACTGACCCGGTAACTTCCAGCCCATCCAGTGCTTGACAAAACACTTCTGACCCCAACGAGCCTCCCCAATACCTCGCCGAGTGAGCTAAGATTGATGACGTGGGTAAAAAACCCAACACCACCAGCAGAAGGAGAAAATCGGCAATAACAGCCTACCAAAAAAAAAAAAAAAAAAAAAAAAAAAAAAAAAAAAAAAAAAAAAAAAAAAAAAAAAAAAAAAAAAAAAAAAAAAAAAAAAAAAAAAAAAAAAAAAAAAAAAAAAAAAAAAAAAAAAAAAAAAAAAAAAAGAGAAAGAGCTGAGAGTAAATTCCGACTAGCCTCAGTCAGTTTCTAGGAGTACCAGTGGAAGTAAACCCTTAAACCGCGTCTGTAGTTCGGTAAGGCACTACGAGGGAATGATGTAAAACTAAGACTGTGACAGTTGTAATGGCTGTGTCGAGGAACACACCACAGAGAGAAGGCAGCATCTGCACGCACACACACACACACCCACACACCTGGACAATCACATTTGTTACATGCCTATGTTATATCACTTTTCTTTGTGCAATCACATTGAGGAATAGTCTATTGGTATCATTGAAGTAGAACACAAAAGAGTAAAAAGGGGTATGACCTGTATAGTGCTACATTCTACCGGGGCTGGGGGCAGCTAAAATGTTTCCTCCTATACTAAAACAGCTAAGGATTAAAAAGGAACATTTCAAAAAAAAAACAAAAAAAAAACAAAAAAAAACAAAACAAAAAACCACAACAAAAAACCACAACTGAAATCCAACATACATTATTAGAGATCTTGTTTAGGAACAGCATTTCTCAGGGATTTATCCAGTGTGTTCAAGAAAAAGGAGAAACACCCCCATTGCTTCTGCTCTGAACCAGTGCTCCATGGCCTGACTTGCCCAGGTGGGTTTAAACGTAACAGTATTAGGTCCGAATTTAGAGCACTGGGACAATGTTTTATCCTCCTACCTCAGTCTCCCTTACCCACTTTCTTTTTCCATTAAAAATCCCCCAAAACCTGTGTATACTTTGGGATATGAAAACCACTGCAAAGATGGGGTATAAACCCTTTGAAAAGCTGGATAAATCCCTAATTCATATACCTATAGGATTAAAAACCTAATGGATTTCATTTTAGGTGTTTTGGACAACAAATTTCTAAATGTAGCTCACTATTGGATGAAAATAACCTTTAAAAGTCTGTTGCTGAAGTTCTTCAAAAGACAGGACCCGCTGGAGGGTCCTTCTGCTTCTCTCTTTCTCTCTAGTTTGGTGCAGAATGGTTGGTTTTTTGTGGTTTATTTTTTTTTCTGTTCTTTTTTTTTCCGTTTTTTTTTTTTTTTTTTTTTAAATAAAAATTGCAGAATTGGTTCTCCCCCTTCTTTCCTCTTTTCCTTTTCTTCCTTAAAGTCTCCTTCGTTCAAGTTTCACGTGAGCCTCCCACTGCATTGTTAAGTTTCTCATGTTCTTCAATACAAAAGCGGCTGCCTCACTCCCCCCGGGATGGGTGCGTCTCTCGCTCTTTTATTCCAGTGTTTAGATGTAAGGGTACTGGTTCACCTTGGTGGGGCTCAGTGGGTATCCAGTGTAGACTGTGGAGGCTGGAGAAGCACTGATATAGGTCTGGTGGGCAAACTGAGCCTGATACTGGCTCGGGTGGATGGTGGGTGAGGGCAGGACGCGCGGGCCCATGCTGACAGGGACCTGGTGGACGATGCTGGCGGGGTAGGTGGTGTGCTGCACCGCGTGCCGTGCAGACCCTTGGGAGGCCACCAGGTGCGCGACGGTGCCGGTGGAGCCCAGGGCGGCGGGGGCGGTGTATGTGTAGAGGTGGGGCTGGGTGGGCAGGTGAGCAGCGGCCGCCGCGGCCAAGTGGGGATGAACTGTACCATGGCTGGGACTACTGTGCGGGAAAGAGTACGGGGCCTGAGCTATCGTTGGAGTGATGTAGGCTTGCTGTCTCCGGTGACTCCCTGTGCGGTCGGTCGTGATGTGCTGCTGGGCCTGGATAAAGACAGCAACAGTGATAAGCAGTTACAACTCAAGAGATGGCTCTTCACCTCCTCAGTAGTGCCTGGGAACCTCCCTGCAACACCAGGACAGCCTCAGGGAAGTCTCCTGGGCTCCTCCTCACATCCTTAGCACCACCAGTCTTCCCTTGGAAATGGGTGACAGCACTTGGTCCCTCGCAAGCCCAGGTTTCATACATCGTTCCTGTAGTTTCTTAAGTTGACCAAAACGGCCCCCAAAAGGCCAACAAGTCCCTCAGTTTCAGCCACAAGCTGCTGGCACAGCTATCACAAAGACACAGCCTTGGATGCCCAGCTCCCAGGAACATCTTCCACAAATCCAGTTGCTCACACAAAACCTGTTTTTTTGTTAGTGAACTCTCTGCTGACAAAATGGGCTGTGCAGATATTGCCTAATTATGCCTGGAACAGGCATTTTATTTTTGCTCAGTTTGGGTGTTTGCAGTTAATAATTTCCTCAGTTAGTAAAAATAACCATGTTATTTTTTAAAAATATAACCCTTGGTTTGATCAGATCCTGCAGGTGTCTGGTGCCCTCATGTAATCTGCTATAATTACTTGGGCAGAGGCAACTTCTTGCAGTGGGACAGGAGCAATGCACTTTTTTTCCAGGGATTTTCTAGGTTGTTTTCTTGCGCTGTACAATAATGTAAGGAGTTTTCCCTGTCATTTGTAGTCAGAGAATTAAATTACCCATAAAGTAGGAATTAGAAGGCAAGAAGGAAAATGCCCCATGCTATTTTCCAGCTCTTCCAAACAGCATCTCACCCAATTCCTCAATTTTCACGCACTTTTATTTAAAATTTGTTCACATTTTTAAATTTCATCTGCATTTTGAGGGGGAGGGGACATTCTTCTCCATCAAATTATTTTTCTTTTTAAAAAACAGCTCTGTTCATCCACCTGTGGATGCAAACTATCACCGTCCTCTGAACTCTCCTTTTCAGGACCTTCTCCTCTTGAAACACTGGCAACTGTGCTGTAACTTCTCTACTCTTGGAGAGTAGAGAACAAGTAACAAGTACATCTTGTTACCTCAGGGAAGAGAGAGGCCCCAGGTGCAGGATGTGAAAAGGCAATTATTTACTGAAGCTCCCATCTAATCACAGACTACGAAAGATGTTGAGAACTGCATGTTTCCAAGAAATGGGATTTGCCCAGATCTCAGCTCAGGTTTATCACAGGATGGATCAAACTCCTAGGTCATGTATATGCACAATGAGGTCATATGCTCATGAGGTCATGTATGTGAACAGAGGCTTTGCTTTGACTTTCCCAGCTGGGCTGAGGCACTTCACTTGGAAGATGTCCTTCCCATAGTTACCTAGAGCTAAAGAGAATTGAGTCCTTCCTACGTGCTCCTGCTCAACTCTGTTGGGGCCAAGCTGCTGCACTTCCCTCTCACGTTATTCCCACTCACACTGTTATTCCCACTCACATCTGACTTCAGAACATGTGGTAAGAGTACCACCAGCCCACTCAGGGGTGTGATCTGCACTACCCCTGCTGCCTGAGCTGGAAGACCAAGGTCTGCAGTCAAGTAAAAAACAGCTGATCAAACTCAACTATCACTAGACTGGAATGGGACAGCCCATGCTGGAGGAGCAGTAGGGAACAGCCAGATGATGCACCACCCAAATCAGTCTTGGTTGACTTACCTGACTTAGATTAAGAGGCTGCTGCTGCTGGAAATGTGCTCCTGGTCGCTGCTGCCTATAGGCAACGGCTCCAGACGAGCTCCCTGAAGAGTGACCGCTGGTGGAGGTCACGGTGCTGGAGGACTTGGACTTGTAGGAGGATGAGTGGTGACTGGTGGTGACTGTGCCAGGAAAGGAAACACATTTGTAGCTTACATCACATTCTTTAATTGCTCACCCTACCTTTTCCTCACTGCGTCTCCTCCAGAGTGGCTTTTGGGAGGAGACATACAACAGAAGCAGGGTAAGAAAACTGTTTCTCTTAATTAACAGAATACCTCAGCAGTGCTTCGTATACACCACCAGCCTGTTATCCTAGAGGCAGACAAGCAGACTTGATAACTGGACCCAAAGCAGGCCTGAAGAAGGCTTTACAGACCCTTCAGAAGTGCGAGAAACTGTTCTGCCAGCAGAACTGTATAATGCAGGTACAAATCCCAAGGAGAGGAAGGAAAGTATGGTGTGCACAGCATAAAAAGTCCCTGACTTGCCTAACATCAAGGTGAGTGGGAAGGGAGGGAGAAGGTGCTAGTGGGGAGCTCACCCTTTGAACCTTTGTTTTCACCAGCAGTGCATCAAAAACAAGGACCGCCAAGTAGCTCAAAGCCAGTTGCTTCATGCCACACTTCCACCATAAACCTCTTTTCAACACATCCTACTATCTAGCATTGCAGAGGTTCTGGATGAGCAAACCTCATCAGTCCATAATGAAGACCCTGGGGAAATGTTCTTCTCAGAAATGTCAACAAGTTTGGACGAAAATTCACACATGTTTTCAATCTCTTACCTATTTAAAAATACACCTATGGAAAGGCAAGGTAGCAAAGGTTCACACCTGCATTTGTGAGCCTTTAATGTCAAACGCTGAGCTACAGGCTGCATTCTTTTCTTGGGTTTGTACAGAACTAACTGGGTCCGACACTTGCCCCCGTGACTCCTGAGTGAACCAGAGCCCATAAATAATGCAATATGGCTCCCAAGAACAGATGTGTCACTTGAGAGAAGGGTAGGAGGCTGGAGCATCATTTTTTTTTTTTTTTTATAAAACAAAACAAACAAACAAACAAAATGAAACTGAACAATGAGATTCTTCCAAGATAAATCATTTATTTCTTACTAATTTTCTTGACGGAAGAGGTGCAATTTACCTGGTGCCAGGCTATCGCACTCTACCAGCACCTCACTGGCCTGGGTTTTCAGTGGTGGCACGATGATCGTTCGGGGGTTCCCACTGCAGTGAGTCTCTGGAACCCCTTTGGTGTCGTAGCTGTTCCCATTATTCTGCCCTGCCCGATGTTGCACGGCGTAAGGGCTGTTGTTGCTGGAGGAGTCGGAGTAGGGCGAGTCATGCACGGTGACACAGCTGATGACATTCTTCCTTTGCTTGGACAAGGTGCTGAAACACAAGCAGACATGTGGAAAGAGTGATCAGGCAATGATCAACTCGAAACCACT